ACGAACAGCCAAGGATCGAAGCTATAAATTAGTAACGGTGGGAGAATGTCTCGGAGACCCAAAGGCAAACTGGTACCGATCTGTACCGAATGGAAAGCACGCTTGTAAGAGCATCGGAAGCTCCACCACAGCCGACTCGTCAACGTCTACGGAAATGGCCAACACTGCTGAAACTGTGCCTTCTTCTAGTGAATCCGCGCCTTCTTCCACGAGAACCACAGATACCACTTCAACCCAATTGGTTCCATTGGCACAGACGAAGGCGGCAAGCTCTGGAGTCGGATTGACCCATATCTGCCGCCACTGCATATATCTAGGCGTGCAGGTATTCATTCTAGGAATGCACGGGATTTAGACGGGCTTTGGGATATATAGACCAGAATTTATGCATTGGCACGTAATGCATAAATACATCGTCGACTAAGGGTTTAGTCTACCACTCCTGACGCAGTCAAGTCTTACGATCCGAAGAGGATCTGTTGCAGACGTCCCAATCGGCACCGAGCACTCTCGCGATCCGCGCAGTCTGCCAAGCCAGTGGAGAGCGCAGACATGTCGTCGGCGGTTCCACTCTGTTGTGCCTGCGGGCCGCCTGCATGACATCAGTGTGCTTCTCGGGCATGCGGTCAAGATGTGGTATTTGACCAACAATCCACTGGTGATGCATTGTCTCTGCGCAAGGCGTAACAGTTGTCGCGCTGTCCCCACCAATCATCGCCGCCGCTGGAGCAAATCGCGTCCAGGCTGTGACACGGAATGCGCTCAGGGGTACCCGAACATACACAACTTTCAGCGTCTGGGTGGTACAGTACAGTACTGTATCGAACCTAGGAGCGTGGCTTTGCAGTGCGCAGCGTGCATCCGGTCTACAAGACCATACTAGCCTACTAGCCACGCCATGCTCCGTCGACGCCAAAGTAGCCGACCGACACCATCTCACGACAATGCGACACGGACTTGCCGAATTCGGAACGGAGCGTTAGTGCAGTCCCGTCTGCGCATGGCGGAGACACGCCACCTTACGTTTCCAATCTGTAGGAGAGCACTGTGTGTGTCTGTTCGTATCAGCTCTCGGATGACCGCATGCAGGGGCTTCGGCGCACCAGCCAGAAGCTGTCGTACGTCGCGGCGAGTCGAAACGCTCCCGGCCGGCATCAACGCGCTTGGCATTGGACCTGTTGGGGACGGTGAGGCTAGCGTGACACCTGTTCCGCTACAAGTTGAACAAATCTCACCACATGGGTCATGTCCGCTGGAAGAAGCTAAAGGCGTGACCATCTTGGCGTCCACCAACGGCTAGATCATCTGAAGACACTCTGATCCCGCGCCAATCGGGGCGCGACGCTGACCAAATCACAACTACACGAACACAGTTGGGAAGGGTGGGCGGTGAGGGGGTGACTTTGCAATAGACGGCAAGACGCGTTAGTACAGTACAGTACCAGCGCCATGCCAGGGATGAATTCATGCACGTAAATCAGCAAAAGCAGTTGTGCCTGATTCTACTGTACCGTATCTTGACCCTAGCTGCCCAACATACGTCCATGCCCAGCTGTGCAACTCTCCGGCTTGTTCACACGCACCGTGACTTGCGTGAAAGAAATCCACCACGATTTTCGCTGTGGCTGTTTGCAGACTGTGATTCTGTGGAATCATGATGTCGGCGCCATGAACCGTATATCTCTTGACTCTAGATCGGACACTGTGAGTCGCACAAGCCTAGGAAGTGGTGCAACGAGTTTTCTTTTGGTGCTCCGCATGTTATATTTGGGCAATTGCTAGACGGGCCGAACCACTTTGCAACCCGTTACGGGGGCCGTGTGGCTGAACCTCCAAATCGGGCAGTCGTGCATTCCATGCCACGCGGGCTAATACCCCTTCCACCAGATGGCTGGCTTCCGTTCCGGTGCTTCCTCCTAGCCATCCGTATTAGTCGCTCAAGCAAACATAGAGTCGTCGACTGCAATCTATCGGCACTGCTTTCAAACGCACTGCAGTCGACACAAACACCTACCTTGCGAGCCTTTTTTCCAGGGCGAAATCCATTTCAGATATAAGCAATCCTAGTGGCAGCGACATGACCCTTACCGCTCTCTCACCTAAGGCTGTGTTTGACCCCGAGCTTCATTACGGCGATGGCGACGACAACGCCTTGTATAACCCATTTGCGATATGGCTAGAGAACTATTTTAGTAGCCTTCCTAAGCCATACGGTAATCGCGGAGTCGATGAGCCCTATTGGGAATTGCGGCGGTCACGGATCTTCCTGGATGACCACTTCCGGGGTCGCGGGACGCGGCGACTGTTCACCCCTGTAGTTCCAGGCCCGGACAAGCTTGAGAGAGAGCGCTTGCGCGAGCAGGCACATTCAGACGATGTCGAGCAACACACGAGAATCACGGTGTGTTTTCGGTCCGCCCTGGATTTCGCCCAAGAGCAAGCCAAGGTCGACGATTTACTATCATCCTGCGCCGAGGGGCAGCTTTCAAATACGCACCCCGCCCGCGCGGAATTGGGGGTCAAGGGCCACGAGTTATTCACCCCGTCCCACCACGATATCACAGTAGTGAGTGTCGCCGCGAGAAGTCATCGGACTTGTTGATATCATTAAAGACCAAGCATTTCATTATCATTACAGCAACGCCATTGTGCCGTGGACTTTTGTCATGTGATATGTCTGGGCTGTTCACCTCATCAAAGCACAAATCTTTTCGCCACCGAAAGAGGGTCCTTTTCTACCATGGACATTGCCATGCCTCTGCATGCTCCTTCGTCCGCCGGCGATGTATGTTATGTGCTGATGCATGGAGAGATGGACCGTGATTGTGGCGATGGTTGGAAACCTTGTAACTCCATTTCCAACGTCCATCAACCTCGGCTGCCGAGACAACGAGCGAATACGGGCAGTCAATTCGCTGCGAGGCAGGTGCCCTGAGCCCTACGCTCGTCGAGGGTCGAGACCGGCCGCGGTCACATTCGAAGACAATGCGAGTAGCCTGAGAGCCACTACGAAGGTCTCGCCGACTGTAACTAGTCCGGACGACGATACCAGCCCCGTTTTCACGATGAAACCCTTGGAGGTTAGTCATGAGGTCTTCATACGTATCAAACAGCTGCGAGACAGGGGGCACTGGGATAATGCGGGTGGTGTGGTCTTCGTCGAGCCCCTGGCTCTCGTCGTTGGCCGCATCGTTGCTCTCGCCGCTGTTGCTCTCGCTGCTGTTGCTCTCGCCGCCGTTGCTCTCGCCGTCGTTACCATCGTCGTTGCGTTCGCTCTCGTGATGATGAAAGTCCTGTAAATCTTGAGCCGGCTGGAAACCACCATCGAACGTAGCATAAGAGCTGTTTGAAGCAGCAGATGCCGGGGTGGAAGCCGGAGATGAAGGCGGAATGAAGCTCTCGCCGTCACTGCTGTCGAGATGCTCTTGGATGTCTTGACTAGGTTGAAATCTGCTATCGAGATCCTCGCCGTCACCTTCGTCTTTGAAGTCTCCCAGGTCCCGAGCCGGCCGAAAACCGCCGTCATACGTCGTCGAGGAGCTTTGCGAGGGAGACGGAGCGCTAGCCCGATCAGGCCCAGTACGAGCCACAGCCGCCGGCACAGGCTCTGGTGACTCAAGCCAATCGTCCGACGAGCAAACCACAGCCCCAACTGCAGAGCCACCGGCACCGGCAGCATCACACGCAGGGGTAATTTTGGCATCAATCGCGACGTTGACGATCGTTGAGATGTCTGGAAAGTCACTTCCA